GCATGAAGCGACTAGGAGTATTTCTACTCCCCCCTGGATGGGATGCTAGTCCATCGCTGGGTTACCCCCATTATTAAATTTCCCGGTACCAATTTATACACCTGGGTGGAGAGAGACTCTGTGAATTTTAAGTGTCTTGTCCAAGAGCACAACGTAGTGTCCCCGGCCAGGGCTCGAACCCGGAACGCTCGGTCTGGAGACGAGCGCACTAACGTAACCATGAGGCCACCGTGCCTCCCTTTCGTGATGAAGGGTCTGGATAAAATTCCTTTATTGCCGAGTATCTGCACTAACATTTCAAACGATTTCCTTTTAGTACTCTTCGATTATTTTTTTCCATCTCTGAAAGGTAATTACGGGATTTTAAGGGGGGCGGGGGGTAATAATAAATCTCAACTAAGAGTTTAAAACATACTTACACAATTTTCTGTAAACTAAATTGCTGTTTTGCCACCAACATTTTCTCTCCGAGTCAAGGGAGAACTTTGTAACATAAGGAGTTAGAGGGCGAGTAAAGCACTTCCTAAAGGCATCTGCATCATTATTGATTGAATAGATGTAGTAGGCAATCATGATCAAGCGCGCTCTATAGTTTTTTTCTGACAACTTTTATTTTCATTTCAGCAAACAAAGATTTCAATTAATTAGCATCAAATCATCTGACTGTGTCTTAATTATATGTTACACATCCTTTGAATTTATAATTGCTGTTACATTTTAATGCTCTAGTTTAACAGTCTCTCCTCGTTCATTCCCAAATTAGCCACCAATATATAATTGCTGTGCCATGTGATTGCTACACTGCTTATGTTTACTTTTCTACCGAGTAACATCGTGACAGACTGATATTTCCCTCTAACAATGTTACATAACAGTGACTTCGATGAACTTTATCCCAACTCTTTCAGATTTATGGTTTTTGTAAACCTCGAGAGTAAGACCATAGCTGAGCAGCAGTCGCTTGTTGTAGGCCGCGGTCTTCAGAAAGCCTCCGTCATGCGCAGTGTAACATGAGCCCCAGTGTTCGTTTAACGTGAGCGTGATGACAAACTGACCGT